TACTAGTATATATATATATTCGTCTTAGTTCCAAACAGAGGCCGTGGCTGACACAAGAACGCAGCCTGGGACCAAAAAAACAAAAAAACAAAGCTCCACGAAGAATGCTGGAACAGTTTTGTTTTTTTGGTTTTTTGGTTTTTTGGTTTTTTGGTTTTTTGGTTCTTTGGTTTTTTGGTTCTTTGGTTTTTTGGTTTTTTGGTTTTTTGGTTTTTTTGTTTTCTTGGTTTTTTGGTTTTGGTGTGGAAGGAATTATATTTCAAAAACCAAAAAAACAAAAAACTAAAAAACCAAAAAACCAAAAAAACAAAACTGTTCCAGCATTCTCCGTGGAGCTTTGGTTTTTTTGGTTTTTTGGTCCCAGGCTGCATTCTTGTGTCAGCCACGGCCTGTTTGGAACTAAGACTAATACATATACTAATACTAGACTAGCCCTAATACCAAGATTTTTTATCCCTACGACTATCAAGATTCATATATGTATCAATATTAGTACAAGGCTGAAAGTTAGTATTCAAAATAATGCTACTAGTCATATTAAACTAAATACAAATACTCCTACGAACACTAATAGTCATAGTAGCAGTCATACTAATATGCATGCTAATATTTATGCTTCTACCAATTCTGATACGAAATTCAAGAGTAATACTAGTATAACTATTCCTACGAATACAAATCGTCATATCCATACGAGGATTAACTCTTATAATGTTTTTATGTTAATGCCAATGTTTATACTAATATTAATATGAATATGGCTACTACTACTCCTACAAATACTAATACGCATACTCTTATGGTTGTTAATAAATAATAATACCATTGCCAATACTACTACTGACATTGATTCGTCGAGCATATTAGTATTCATACGAATATTGACAGCTCTATTAAGGCAAATACGGGTATGCATCAAACCAACATAAATATTATCATTAATACTCCTGCGAATACCAATAACCATATTCATATTGATATTAATAATATGTATATTGACACCAATACCAGCACCTACCTGCATATACTCATGTGGATAGATATTCATATTATATTGAATTACAAATAATATTAAATATACACTAACACACGCATGTATTAGTATATTAGTATTTTTCATATACCAATACACTAATATACTACTGTGTTAATATATGAAAATACTCATATACTAATATATAAATATACTAACATACTAATATACTACTATGGTGATATACTGATGTAGGGATACCATACTATACAAGTATACTGACATATTTATAAGATTAATACACTAATATAGTCGTATACAAGTATATTAATGTACTCACGTACTAATGTACGAATACACTAGCAAATTTATATACGAATATACTAACATACTAACATACCAACATACTAATGTATTCATGCACCAATGTACTAATATATGAATACACTATACAAACAAACTACTATACTACTAATGTATGAATATACTGATATAGTAATATGCTAACATACGAATATTGTTACCATATTGATATATTTGTAAGTTATGAGGTTAACATCCTATCAGAGTCGTATACAAACTTACTAGAATACGAAGATACTAATGTACTGAAAAACACATGCATTTATATACGAATGTACGAACATACTCATAGACCAATACACTCATGCACTCATGCACCAATGTACTAAACTATTCCATATACAGATATACACGTATACAAAAACACTATACCAACATAGTAATTAATGTATTGGTATTAGGAACGTACATAAACACACTTGCAACTATTTCAAGTATATTAACACACTCATGTACCAATATGCCAACCAGAACCAAATACCCATCCATATACCAATATACGAATCTGTTACTATGAAACCTATGAGTATACTAACATATTCATATACTAATATACGGAATATACGAATACTGTAATATACAAATATTCTGATATGTATTTATGAGTTATTACATTAACATACTAACATTGTCGCATACAAACATACTAGTATATTGGTATATTAGTATACAAATATGCGAATATACGAAAACTGTAATATATAATCATACTGATATATAAATGTATTACTATACCAACATATTGCTATATTTTTATATACTGATAGACTAATATACAAATATAGTCGTACATAAATATACCAGCATACTAATATTCTAACGTGCTAATATACTAATATATTCATATACGAATATACCAATATACTGATATACCAATATACTAATGTGCTCATGTACCAATATACTGCTAGATTAACATACGAAAAAATACAGACACATGCTACTTCTAGACTTAATATACTAATGCACGGATATATTAATTCGTTAGTACACGAATTTGTTGGTATGCTAACATATCAAAACTCGTTCTAAAATTAAATACTCATACTAGTACTTCTGCGAATTTTCAGACTGATATCAAAACCAGCATTAAGACTGACTGATACTGATATGCACGAACACGAACATGAACACTAGCACTGACAGTAGTTTTTACTTACCAAAACTGATGTTAATACGCATATTAATACGAATACTAATACTGATAGCCGACTAGTACTAATACTAAGATCAACACTACCACAAAACTATTTTCCTAGTATTAACACGGATACAAGAATCAACTCTACTACGAAAAGTAATAGTGGTGCTGAGGTTAGAACTAAGCACAAGACTGAGTCCAGACCAGGATTAAGACTGAGACTAAAATTAGGACTAGGGGCTTTGCATGAACGTGTAGACATTTCCAATCCAAAGAGTTTGGGCGCGCTGATTGTCCCCATCCGTTGACAATGATGACTGGGGACACCGCCCTTACCCTTCCCCACGACGGTCTGTCATGGGGGGGGGGGGGTGAGCATATATATATATATATATATATATATTGGTGTTGTTGTGCTATCGACCTTCAGCAGGACCAGCGGGCCTTGAGGTACACCTCCAGCTTCTCGAACCTCTCCTTCCAAGCTTCCGGCGGTTGCAAGCTTTGGGGTTGAGGGCTTCCGGAACTCTGGTGGTTCTGAGGCTTCAGGGTTTAGGGCTTAGGGGTTTAGGGCTTAGGGGTTTAGGGTTTAGGGTTTAGGTTTCTGACGCTTCGGGGTAGAGCTTGGGAACCCAGACTGCCAGGAACAATTCTGGGTTTAGCGTTGAGAGTTACCGGGTTTTGGGTTTAGGGTTTCGGGTTTGTTATAGGGTTTTGGGATGTTCCTTTCCCAACCTCGCCTTGATCCTGGCTTCTCTGAACAATGTCATCATACAACACTCTCGTTAGTCAGGTGTCCGTACATATCCCCACACCCACATGTACACTCCTCCCCCAAACCTGAATATCTCTGAATCCGACAATCTACGCAATGAACATGATATCCTAGACCCGGTCCTTCTGGTCCGTCTTTCCATCCTCCTTTCGAATAAGCGCCAAGATGTGGCACTCCGAAGCGAAGTGGGTGTTAAAGATGCCGAAAACCGTCAGGTTGATTGCATAGCGCACACCTGTCTGCAGGGCACTGAAGGCGAGAATGGTACAAGTTGGTGGTTTAGGGTTTAGGGTTTAGGGTCGAATGCACCGTACTCGAAAAACAGCCCGTGTCGGGCAAATTGGCTCTGGGCATGCTCAGGTCCCTCGATTATGCTGGCTTTGCTCTGCTAGTTCGCGGGTCTGCACAGTTTCGCCGGACAGGAAGTACCTTCTGCCAAGGAATGAGAACTGCCGGTGCGAGGCCTTGCTGGTTTTTGCCCTGGATGAGCCCACGACGTTGCCTCTTTGCCTGACTTGCTTATCTGCCTGGTATTCCACCCCCGCGTGCATGCGTGACGCCCTTCCCTGACTTTCCGTCTTCCCCCGAAGGCAGCGACGACTTCCCGCACACAGATTCAAATCACGGACCCAGTGGCCAGGGACGGCTCATGGCTGTCTCGCTGAACATGCCACTGTTCTGCATAATGGCAATGTGAGCAATAACCATACCAAGAACAGACAGCAACAGTCAGTAAGAAAGTAGGCAAGTCAGTCAGTGAGTAAGTAAGTCTACAAGCATGTATGCAGGAGAGTAACAAGTAGGCAAGCACGTAAGTAAGTAAGCACGTAAGCCAGTAAGTAAGCAAGTTCACTAAGTAAGGAAGTGAAGAGTCAAAAAGTAAAGGAAGGAACTAGACCCTAAACCCTAAACCCCAAACCCCTAAACCCCTAAACCCCTAAACCCTAATCCCCTAAACCCTAAAGGAGAGAGAAGGCATCGCAGCCACCGAAACTCCGCACCTTGTTTCCTGAAGGCCAGGCAAAGCGGCCAGAAGGTCACCCAAACGAGGAGGGAGAGAACCTTAGAGGTTTAGGGTCTAGGGTTTAGGGTTGAGGGTCTAGGGTTTAGGGTTTAGAGTTTAGGGTCTAGGGTCTAGGGTTTAGGGTTTAGGGAGTATCTTAGCCCCAAAAAGCTTAACCTTGTTGAGTTACAGAAGGATCATAGAAGCCCCAAACGGTCAAAGGTTACCTACTCAGCTACGAAGGAACCAAGAGCAGCGGGGAGAAGAGGAGGATCAGAAAGGCCAGGTTTTGGTGCTGCAAGACAGGCCCGTAAACTGCGCCTGCGAGAAAATGACCAAAGATTTCGGGCGTCATGACCTGCTGAAGAGGATATAGAGCCACGATGCCCACATTGGCGGGGTAGCGGTACTGCTCCGGCAAGTCACCGAAGTTTCGTCTCAACTCCTTCGTCTTGCTCCTGGCATCACTGTAGGTGTCGGAACTCGACTGCGCAGGGATCAAGCATCGTCGTAGCGAAGCGAAAGCCATGCTCCAGGGCCGGCGCTGCTGCTCCAGCAACATGCGAGCCCTGGCTTGCACAAAGAGGATCTGTGCCCGGCCCTGGTGCGTATTGTAGTTTGCGCTCAGGATACCGATTAAGAGGTTCATGAGAAGCACCGTGATGCCCATGCCGGTGATGAAGAAGGAGAGCTGCAGGTAGCTATAGCTCCAAAGCCAATCTGCCTCCAGGTCCCTGGGGCTTGGATCTTTGGGCTCCCACTCATTGGTCTCCGCGTTCAGTGCGTAGTTCGTGTCCTGGCCCTGGTATTCGAAGAGGTCGAAATCTCCGAAAATGGCCAGGCGGACCGTGTGTGTAAGTGCAGAGTAGATCGGAAGAGGGTCTTCTCCCCGGGGGTCTAAGATAACGTAGGCGTGGGTGGCGCCTCCAACACAAAGGAAGGTGACAAAGAAGAATGCCCAGGTGTCTCGCACAGCGGATAGAATCGGAAGTAGATACATTCCCAGCCATCGTTCCCCACGTAAACTGTACACGAATCGTAGCCAATACATCGAGCAGAACCATGGCATCCACACCTTGTCCATCTTGCGCTCGCTGCAAAGCTGCCACTGACGTGCAATGGCGACACAACCCACAACCAGGAAGAGCAGATCAGCAAAGGTCTCTAGAACTTCTGCACCCTGGGCGGAAATGCTGTCGTCCCAATCTTCGCTCTTATCTGCTGGCATGAGGAAGTAGTGACTGACCAGGTTTGTGAAGAATCCACCAAACACATAGGAGAAGTGCACTATCCATTCAATGGCCTCCTTCATCTGGATGAAAACCAGAAAGAAGAATGCCAGCCTCGGAAAGGGCTTGACTCCAGCTGCTTCAAGGATTAACACCGGCGATCCGCCAACAACCGAAACCCAAGGAATCTCTCGACTCTCGTGTCTGCAGGGTGAGAACTCGAGGGACCATGGGGTCCTGAAAGCCTAGTTGAGGGTTTGGGCTTCAGAGCTTAGGGTGTCCAGGACCACCAAGTCACTTCTCAGAAGCCTCCGCCAGAACCCCTCCCAACACTGCACTTCAAAATCCAAAACAATTCCAAAATCAGCCCAAAACATCCTAAAACCCTGAACCCGAAACCCTGAAACCCTGCAACCGCCAAGGCTACGGCTGGGCGCTCCCGTCACCATCAGTGCGGCAGGAGATGGTGACGCTACACCTGGTTCATGGTTGGGATACGTTTTGGGGTTTAGGGTTGGGGTAATCTAAAAAATATGTCTAACTAAGTTTCTATTCCTTAGTTATTAAGTTAAAGTACCCAGAAAGATGCAAAATGTTCCCCAACTGTGACAGAGACACAAGCAAGCAACCGCCCAGGCATCCAGGCAGACATCTATGGCCTGATGCGACAGTTCAGGTTGAGCGCGGTTTAGGGTGATTACAGGTCGAGGACGGCCGAAGAAATGAGTACTAAACTAAACCCTAAACGGTTTAGGGTTTAGGGTTTAGGGTTTAGGGTTTAGGGTTTAGGGTTTGGGGTACAAGAAATCAACACAGAGAAAAATGTCAAAAAAAAGCCTCGAAGAGGAAGCGCTTGCTTCAGAACCAAGCAGCGGTGACTGCCCGCAACTGCAGCCATGCCGCGGCAGTGATGGCCTCCACCGTATCAGAGGCCAAGGTTCCGTCGTTGGCAGTCTCTGCCAAAGCTTTCAGCACTCCTGGGTTAAGGGTTTAGGGTTTTAGGGGGGAAAATGGAAAGATAGATGCTCAGAATCGTGTTCCACTACTTCCAAACAAAGACCTGGCAAAAAACTGCTCGCTTGAGTTTAGGTAAGCAAGGTTCCGGGGCGGCATGCCAAGGGGGCACGGATTGGCAGAGTTCGCAACGATACTTGCACTTTCGGTGCATAATGCAAGTTCTGCAGCTCCAAATCCCAATCATTGCTGGCTTTGAACTGAGCGTCCTGGCATTGCAGGTGTTGCACAAGCAAGCTTGCGGTGCGTCAAGAACTTCGTAGGCTGCAAGCGCACAAACCACATCGGCCTAGCATCTCTCACTTTTAGCCGTCTCAGGCACTGTCATCAAAGCTACAACAAGCCGCAAGCAGCAAGCAAAAACGACCAACAACGCAACAAGCACCACAACAACCAGCACGACAACAACGACGACGACACCACCACCACAACGGCCACAGCTACGACCATAACCACCATCACCACTAATACCAGCACATCATCATCATCATCACCATCACCACCACCGTCATCATCATCATCATCATCATCACCATCAACAACAACGTGAGCAGCAGCAGCAGCAACAGCAGCAGCAGCAGCAGCACCGTTCCCATCCCCACTCCCTAACCAATCCTCATCTTCAACAAAGAACTCATCCGGCTCACCATCTCCAGCGCCATTTTCATCATGTGCACCATCTTTTCACGAACCTCATCGCGTCTCTCATCTTCAACGTGGTCATCTTTGTTGTCATCAATAGCAATATAAGATTCTCATCATCGTCGTTAACGTCGCCACGATAATGGTTCCCAGAGAACCCAATACCCCTTGATTGAGGAATATACCTTAAATCATAATATTAGGGCCCCTATAATTTAAGGTATACTCCATAATTAAGGGGTACTGGGTTCTCTGGGTTATACCCGACCTCTGCCTTGCCACTGCTCTTTGTGCTCTTGCGCGACACGAGCAGCGAGGCTTTCTGCTTGACCTCTTCGGGGCAGGACTCTTGAGGCAGGCTTGTGTGTTGCTGGAAAAACTAGTAAATTCTAACCCTAAACCCTAAACCCTAAACCCTAAATCCTAAATTGAATATTGCTGGGTTTTGGCTTCGGGAGCCTGCTTACTGCTCACCCGACCGAGGATGGTGCGCACGGACTCCTGCAATCTCTGCTGGCGGGTGTAGCCTTTTGCGGACGGGACCTGCCAGGCACAAATCAAAGCTAAGCGACCCGAAGGAGTTTCAAGCTGCAGCAGTACTGCAGTGCTTTTCTTACTGGCTTCTTGGCTTCAGTTGCAGAGTTTGACATGCCTCTTGACGTTTGGGAATGAAGCGACGCACCCTTATATCATGTCTCTTGGCCGAAGGCCTCTTGCAGTAGATTCTGCACCAGGTCAGTGTACTCCTGCCCCTCGCCGCGCAGGAGACGGTCCAGCAGATAGTCGGCTCGACGTCCCTCTCCATCTGCTTCGGCAGCCACCGACAGCACCGTACGTCCGTCTCTGGCGGCCCCTGGGTCTGCTCGTTCCATCAGTAGGAGATGGATCATATCCAGAACATAGGTGTCCTCTGCCTTGGAGCTTGCAGCTGCCAGCAGACATGTGGGTTCATGGTCCTCCCATTCCAAGCACACGTTTGGATCGGCCTGCTTTTGCAAAAGCATGCAGGCCACTTCCAAGAAGTCACTCTGCGCCTTGTCACTGGCTTCTGTGGCCTCGTCCTTCGTTTGATCTCGGCTTGGCAACCCGTCAAACTTCGCAAAGCTGGCAGCCGCATGCAAAGCTGTCAGGACTCTCTTCTTGCCCGGACCGGCCTTGGAATCTGGATTCGCCTGACAGTCCAGAAGGTGACGAACGAGTTCTAGATGGCCTTTTGCAGCGGCCACCACGAGCGGCGTCCAGCCATCCCTGTCTGGCGCAGAGGGCGAAGCTCTCTTCTCCAGCAACAGCTTCACGACAGCAAGGCTGTCGCTTTCATCCCTTCGGGCGGCGACAACCAAAGCTTCGGCACTTGGATCTGCCCTCGACGCCACGAGTGTCCGAATCTCATCCACCTTCCCAGCGGCCACGGCCACCAGGAACTTCTCCTTGACGTCGGGCCAGGGGCCCTCCAGGACATCCTTCCACTTGCCAGACTCCTCAGAGCGCATCCAAGCTCTGTGCGTACACCTTTGAAAACCTTGGAAGCCCGTAACCCTGAGACGCCGAAGCCCTTGAGCCCGGAACCCAACTTCCGCCGCACGTTGTGCGACCAGGCTTTCTTTCACACAAAGGCTTAATAGCTAAAGAACCGAAAAAAACCCAGAGCCAGGATGGCTGAGGGTGTAGAGACCTCTACCGTACCGCGGCGGAACTACAAGAATGTGTGCCTCCGACAGTCACGACAGGAAGGGTTTCAATCATAACCTCGAAACCTCTGCTCGGTGCGGGCAGTTGCTTTGAACTCTTGCTTTTTTCGATTATCTCTGGACACACCAATCATCGCACTGAACTGTACAAAGCAAGAGGTCCGTAAGCATGAATCCCTCACATCCTGACAAACTCTCAAGCCAAATCCGGCTTGCATGACTATCCACAACCCTTGGCACCCGCGCGCCCGCGAGCACTCAAGTCATGCACAAACACAACAAGCCCGATGCCCGGCTCATTGGCTCCCAAGCGCTAACGCCGTCGTCCACAAACCATGGAAAGGACGATAACAACCACGGTATTTTTGATGATATCTGTGATGAAGATCGCGACGACGACGATGATGCTGGTGATGGAGAGCATGATGGATGATGGATGCAAGATGAAGGATGATGGGCTTGGTGATGATGACAGGTGACGGATTATGGACTACGGACGATGTGATGGTGATGTCGATGGCGATGGCGAAAACGAGGGTGAAGGTGCGGGTTCCGGGTGAAGGTGACGGTGAGGATACATGTGAAGGTGAGGGTGAGGTCAGGGTCATCGGAAGGGTAAATAAGATAACAGGGTGCTGGTGCTGGCGGTGCTGGTGGTGCTGGTGGTGCTGGTGGTGCTGGTGGTGCTGGTGGTGCTGGTGGTGGTGCTGGTGGTGCTGGTGGTGCTGGTAGTAGTGCTGGTAGTAGTGCTGGTAGTAGTGCTGGTAGTAGTGCTGGTAGTTAATATGGTGCTGGTGGTTCTGGTGGTGCTGGTGGTTCTGGTGGTGCTGTTGGTGCTGGTGGTGCTGCTGGTGCTGGTGGTGATGGTGGTGCTGTTGGTGCTGGTGGCGCTGGTGGGGCTGGTGGTGCTGGCGGTGGGAATGGTGATGTTGATGATACTGGTGCCTTTTATGGTGGCGGTGGCCGTGACGGTGGTAACGAAGACGATGATGATGCTGATATCGGGAACCGCGATGACACTCGCTGCCATCGACATTGTCGCAATCGCAGTCCTACTGGTAATCATCAATTTGTGACTACTCGTCGTGTGAATATGGGCTTCAACAGTTGTCCTTATCACCCCACGGCAAACACCATCTTGAATCTTACGTTTCTTCACCATTGCCGCCATTAGCATCATCATCGTCATCATCCTCAACCAACCGTCTGAAAGGAATGCGGAATGCTAATTCTCTTTCCAGCACCAACAGCAACAGCTGCAGCTACGGCAACGGCAACAGCAACACCACCCAGCACCAGCAAGCAGCAAGCAGCAAGCAGCAACTGCACCAGCACTAGCACTAGCCTAGCATCACCATCACCAGCACCAGCAGCAGCAGCAGCAGCAGCATCAACATCAGCACCAGCATAAGCATCATCAGAACCATCGTCACCATCACGAAATCAAACCAAACCCCAACATCATGAGCAGGCAGCGTCATCAGATTCCTCGTCGCTGATCTTACATTGCGATAAAGTCCACTGGGCAATGGAATAAGAGAACCATTCCGAAGAAGTAATCTTTCATACCAGAGAATGCGAAGGATTGGTTTCCAAGTTCTGGCTCAAGGAACGAGGTGTAGGATTTGGGACGTCAGGTTCATGGATTGCAGCATATGGGTTTGCACAGACGATCTTCTGCAGCTAAGGTGCTTTGGGGTCCGTCATCGTTGGTCACTGAAGCAGCACATTGGAGGCATTGCTGCGAAGGGCGATTGGGCAGTATTTCAAGAGGAAACCTGGGAACGGCCTTCTGACACACCAAGCTTCTGCAACCTGAACCCCTGCTTGAACTCCTAAACCCGTGAAGTACTGCAAAGCTCCATTGCAACACATGGCGCGCAATCAAATGTGCAAAATCTCCAACTGAAGAGCTTGTCTGCAAGTAAGAGCAACATCCTTTCTTCGACACCGCATCGCCTGTCCTTGGCTGTACTCTCAGAAGCCGGTACCACGTCGCGGCACTAGACATGCCGCAAAACATAACTCTTGTCTTTATCTCTCAAGAGCAGGTGCGGCTATTAACCTCGGCTAATAGCCGCTGCTGCGCTTCGTCCCTACAACTCAGAAAGAAAAATCTTTTTTCTTTGTGGATGCGGACAAGCAAAGGTTTCCGGCCGTCGTTCTCGTTCCGTTCGGACAACGGACGACCGCCAACTTGGTTTCTGTGTTAGAAAGAAAAATCACAAGAGCAAGGTGAAACTTTTCAAGCTGCGATGTGTGCAGTCGGTCAGCAGAAGTCGTTGAGCTGCACAAAAGCTTCAAAGGAAGAGACTGCACTGGCAAGTCTGCACAATGGCCGCAGGCCATGTGTCCTGCCTGTGCTTGCTGGGCTTGGGTTCTGGCGCCCGACCACTGCCTTTTTTGGTAGAAGCGGGCCTGGACTGCATCCACAGCCGCTCGGTCTCTGCACGAAACTACTAAACCACCAAAACAAAAAAGGTGGAACGAAGCCAGTTTTAGGACTTGGACAAGCAAGGAGGTGGTCGTCTCTAAGCCGACACATACGTTTTACGGCGCCTTCTGCGAACCAATACAGCGGCACAATGAGACGACCCAACAAGCTCAACAGCCAGGCAGGGACCGTGAGGAGCCTTGTAAGGAGGCCTTTCTCGGACACCTTCTCGGTGACAAGGACCAACACCAACGGATCGCAACACGGAACGTTGGCAGCCACAGATTAATAACGCGCGCTCGCAGCAAACGAGGTATCGCGGCTGCCGCGAATTAGGACGACCACCTAGTAGCTGACGATTGGACTACTCCAAATCCCAGCGTCTGACAAACACGCTGGTTTCGTAACTTAGAAGGCTTCCAAATGTAGTATA